TTTTCGGGTCTCATGATCTTAGTAAGATTTGTTTAAGATCTTAGACAAATGTAAGCGAAATCTTACTAAGATCTTAACAAGATTTTTCTAAGATCTTAGTAAGATTTGAGTAAGTTTTTCACTAGGGATGATATGCAGTTCTGTTGGCATTACTACATTTAACTATTTCATGTCCTTACAGTTGTGTGCATTGCTTGTCAGCACAATGTGTCCTCTTTCAAAGGCAGTAAATTTTTCTACGTCAAAAACATAGTTTCAAACCAAAGTTTTTCAGCAAGTTTTCTAAAAGCACTACATGAAAAAAACGAATTTTGTTTTTTGAAGTTGATTTTGTACATGTATAGTTTTTCGACCATAGATAATTCGATAAGCATAAAAATAGAAAGTGATATGATTCGAACTTGCGCATATTCTATCCAACCATGCTACTTCATAGACGATCAAAAAAGTTATTTCATCGCGTTACATAAAACGCTTTTTCAGAGAAAAACTCTCAGTATTCTCTAAAAATTTGCTGAAGATCAGGCTTATAGTTACTGAAATAGCTTTATAACAGGGGAGTCTTAATAGATGAAGTGTTGATTACATTGTTATATGGTTCTCACCAGAAACAGATTAATAATGTATGATTTGACAACTCGAGTGTTTTCGAAGAAGATATCACTTCTATGCTGTTGGTCACTAGATTTGTAATGATGTGTTGGTTCTAAGAATTATGGCCACGTTCGGGTGATTTTTACGGCATATTTTTGAAAATAAATTAATAATTACCATTTTAAATGTTTTTCGAAATATTGTGCTTGACCATGTGTATATGTAGAAACTCTTGGCGTAATTTGTATACCATAGGTCACGCGTAATCAGATCGATTAGTGTTTCAAATGCAATTCGTTCTTCACTTTTACTTGTATATGATTTTGTGAGTAAAATGTATGAGTTGACAATTAGCCAAGGGATGGTTAAACATATGGACGTTAATATTTGAAGTAACAACATTGAAATGAGTTGTGAATTTTTTTGATTTAAACGTATCATATTCGAAATGGGTGCAATTCGTCGAATACTCCGATGAACATTTCTTACAGTGAGAATACCCATGATTGATAATATAATTGCTGGAATAAAACCTATGCAAACAACGTTGAAGAATGAACGAAATATCGAATAAGGACCGAGCCGAGCGTCGCACATCCATTTCTTTTGGCCACTTGAATTCATTTCCGGATATATGTCATAGAAAATGAGCATGTGAGAAACAATGACGAACCAGAATATGATGGTACCAACAACTGATATTAGAGCATTTTTAACTGAACTAAATTTTCTAAACTTTATTTTGAATGAACTAGTGGCATATCGATCAATCGACGCTAATATAACAAAACTTGTCGACAATACCGGAAATACAATAACAAAATATGTTCGAAATTTACAAAAGTAAATGTTAGTAATTGTCGGATTTATATGGAAACCATCGATGAATATACGAGTTAGAAGATTAAAATTAAGGATAAAAAAGTCGGCAATAGATGCCGCTAAAAAATATACAGTACACGGATTTGAACGCAATTGCTTTTGAGTTAATGTCATATAATTAAATAAACAGCCAATATTACCTGGTACAAGTAAAAGAATGGGTACATATATACCCAATTGTTGAGTGATAGCATTTAGTTTAATCATTGTACTCATTCTGTATGTGTTAGTTTCTTTTAAACTATCAGATGTTGAGCATGTTCTATTATCATTGAGAAGATATATGTATATCTATTTAGTTTTTATGCATGATAATAATACGTTATAACTTCTACGATAAAAATGATAAATATATGATACATTAGATGAAATTAAAATTTAATGTTGGCTGTTAATAATTATAATTGACATGATAAAGAAAGGGAAGTATATTAGTTATGTAAAAAATCGTGTGATAAATCACAATGAATCATAAATCAAAAAGATTGCCTTCACAATTTTTTACGAGATTAATTTATGCTGATGTAAGTATAAGAATTAATGATTAAAAGATTAATTTCTTCATAGATGAATTAATTAAATTTTCATCATTGAGAACAAACATCTTCATATGTTGGTATAAAGTTTGGTCAGTTGTACAGGACTTATAGAAGGAAGAATACTCCCTTTGCAACTTCTGTTATCGATTGTGAGTTCTTTTAGCCGAATTACTTAAGCTTCTCATACATACTTACTCGTCACATACACACTTTTCGGAAAAAGCAACAAAGACTAACCGCGGAGAAACGGTTTTGTATGACACAACACAGTGAATATGCTGTCAGTTCGATGATCTAAAGAACACAGACATGCGCAACTTATTCAAGATTATTACAGAACTTGTTTATGCCGGGAGTCGAATGATGTACAGAAACTAGATATTCACATGTGATGAATATGCCCGTTAATATGTGTTAGAAAATGAGAAAAGAAAAAGTTTGATTTTATTATTGAAGAGAAACCGTTGTCAATATAAACTTTCTATACTAAAAGATAAGAACAAAATGGTTTACTCTTTACATACTATACTCACAAAGGTCAGTATCGATTAGAAACAACCAAACAAATTTCTGGCATATTTTCAACATATTTTACGCGATTACAAAATATCTAGAAACGAAATCGTACATTCGATTTAGTATTAAGCTAAACATTATGTCCTCTGATTATCCTCAAACAACATTGAAAAAGGTGAACGTAGCAGAAAAATCCTCACTATTTACGGCAACATGGACTCCAAAAATTGTTGGTGAATTAAATGGCCAGCATGTAAAACTAGCCAAACTACATGGCGAATTTGGTTGGCATGCACATGCAAATGAAGATGAAATGTTTCTCGTTATTCAAGGACAGGTGGAAATACAATTGCGAAATAATATTGAACCCATTTTACTCAATGAAGGTGAATTTTTTATTGTGCCAAAGGGTGTTGAACATAATCCTCGAGCTAAAGAATTGTGTACAATAATGTTGTTTGAACCATGTGGAACGATAAATACAGGAAATGAAAGAAATGATAAAACACAATTAGAACTAGAAAAAATATAGACTTTTTTACTCAGGTATTATTAAACGATGCTAAAATTATATATTTTTATACCATATGAGTTTAGAAGTCAATACAAGAAGAATGGCTCGGAGACAGTGATTATTGACATATTAATGTTTGTAATTTCACTTTCACATGCAAAATAGAGTTAAACGTTTATCTGAATAATATAAAAAAAAATAATCAAATAAACTATGAATATATTTGATTTGAGATATACGTATTTAGTATTTGTAATAGATGAAGTTACTCATTCCTTCTCAAGTCAGCGAACCATTATATGTTCAAGAGTAGTCATACATGGTACATAAGTTACGAGGCGGGCTCCTCCAATTTAGATTTGATTCAAACTTTGCCACATTGTAGAGGACACTTCAAAATATATATGAAAAGAGTTTGGAGGTTTACGAACTTGTCGTTTCCCAGAAAAAAATGTTTAATTTTTTTCGAGCTTTTTTGCCCATTTTTTAAAATTTAAATAAAATTTCTCCTTTTCAGTTTGAAACCTAGGTTTTGTAACTAATTGATAGAGCGCATCGAGATGTATATGTGAAAAGATTGTTATCGTTTTCGAAGAAGGTTTGGTGGAAAAATTCGGATTTGACTTTGAGAATGGGTTTTCAGCGCGAAAAGTGTGCGTTTTCGAGATCTTGCCTACAGTTTCTCTGCGGGGAAGTATTTTGAAGCCGAAATGTGAGCGTAGAAGTTGTTTATCATGTTTTTTTCTATGGGATAATACTTTGCTGTCGCTAAATTTCTTATGGACAAACTTTAAAATTGAAAATACTGAGACGTTGCACTGAGGATTAAAGATGTTCAAATTTTTAAGCTGCTTTCTTTTTTCTTCTGAGCCAGAAGATAGTGTTCAGAAAATCTTCAACTCATAGAACATAGACACTTTAACATACGGAATCGAATAGAGATTTGCCTCACTTACAATCATATTAAATAGCCTGAGAGACAACGTTTAAAAGTAATAATCAGATGGTTGATCCGATCTTTACTTTATCCATAACTAATGCAGAGATCAACGACGGATGAGAAATTCTTTGCTGATCCCTCCTCAATCGAGATATCCTCATCTAAAAACTCAATATCTGTTATTGCAAATCAAACCATTCCCAAGTTCAGTCTACTTTTTTTTATTCCTAGGTTTATCAACTCCATCTCGTTGATAAGTTCCTGTGTGCCGAAGAGGACTTTATAAAATTTACATGAATATTCGACCTCTATTATCTCCGAAAAGCTGTTAACAAATTTCATAAAAAGGAAATTGTGAGGCCTCTTCTGTGCAATGGCTTGTATCAGAGAAAATAAGTTTACCCGGGCAATTTCGCTTATGAAGGTTTGATAGAATATAAAAGTTTGAGAGTTTTGGCAGCCCTCTATGTCGAATTTTTCTAGAAAACCTTTTCAGAATACTACCGTCGTTGACAAGTTCATGTAATTTATCTCTAACATTCATAAATGTTCTTCACATAAAGTTCATATCGATCTTTATATAGTTCAGCGTATCATCTAACAAACCAAATGCTTTTTTCTCATAAATCTCTTCAGTCATAACCACTATGTCTTATCCTTTGCCCTTCTACATAATGACAAAATCTTTGCGTTTTGAAAGATTCGCAAAAGCTATATGGTGATTAAGAGTCGCATTTCGATCAAAAAATTTAGCTGACTGATAAATAGTGTCAATGGACTAGTAAAGCTCAACTTCGGATGTTTATTAACTATGTCTTTAATTTTTTCCTTCAAATCTTTGCGAATCTTCAATGGATTTGATGGAATATATTTTAACGCTATATTCAAGTGACTATAGCTCATGCTTACATAAATTGACGGAGTTATCGTAAATACATGGTCCGAAATCTGATATAGTTCATCCAAATCTGTGTCTGGAATGTGTCAATTATTAATGTTATTGGAAGACGCATCAATACCCAATGTTATATTACGATTATTTTTAATATAAAGATTCCGCTTTTGGTTAGTATTATCATAACTCTTATTAAATATAGTTGAGTTTCTTCATGTATGGCAGTGAGTAATTGAGGGAGGAGGGTCTGGTTGTGTACTGGTATTCTATCGAATTACATCATGGTTAATAACACGACTGTTCACACTAATCAAATCTCTTTTCTCTCTTGGAAGTAGGGGGTGGGATCATGGGATCATAGACTGGTTACCTTACTATTCTTTGAAGTCGGCTTCAGGGTCATTTTTTCCTGGTACACTGACGACTGGAATGTGCTACTACACACTGTCATGAATTAAATCAGTCACAAAGTCTATAAGAGTCTGTTGAAACAACATCTTCAACTAAACTCCCCCCCCACAATAGAAGCCTCCCCCATATTAGAAGCCCCCTGTGGAGGAATCGATGTGGAAGGTGTATTAGAAGCCCAAGGGCTTCTAATACGTCGGGAAAATAATTTCAATTTTTTAAACGACACATTTGATCGACACGCGTTTTTTTACTTTAATTGTTCTTGTGTGATATCGTGTGTAAAAAAAGGAAAGGAATAAAATTTGCATTTTTTATCTCGAAAAAGATTTTTTTCAGATTAATTGAGATTACCGTGAATAGAAAGGCAAGAGCATCGAATTCAAAATCTCCTTTTTTTTCTGAAAATTTTTGTACGAAAGTCGTAATAGTAGCCCCTTCATAATACAAGCCCCCCCTAAAAATTTTGAAGTTTAGACTTTGACAGTTTAGAAGCCCCGGAGGCTTCTATTATGGGGGGGGGGGGGGGGGGTTATTAAAAATCATGGTTGTTTTTTTTGTACACAAAAAAAA